AGGTGATACACTGGACCACGTCCCCTGTGTGGGTGTCAAAGCAGTCCACCACCCCGACCCGAGAAATGTAGCCCTTCACTAAGCACCGCCCAGTGACAATGTACAAGTTCCTGTCACCCTTGGTGATCACGGCTGTGCCATCCATAGGAATGCTCATCTTCCCTGCCAGGTGCCAGGCTTCCTTGCGCTCATCGTAGCGATAGATGTTAGAGACATACCGCCGTGGGGCAATGCTGCCACCCACGGAATACACTGTCCCCCCACAGGTCACCATGGTGTGAAAGACAAGCCCGATTGGCAGGTCGGGCAACTTGGTCCAGGAGTTGTCATCCATGTCATAGCGCCAAGCTGTCTTCAGCCCTGAAATCTGCTCAGTGGTGCCACCAGAAATGTAGATGTAGCGACCAGCAGAGGTGGCGCTCAGGGCTGCTGCCCGGTAGGGCATCTCCGAGAGCTTCAACCACAGGTTCTCCTGTATGATATAGGCAAACACTCCATCGTTGAACTTGCCGTGGGCCTTCTGGCCACCTAGGATGATCACGGAGTCGAGCAGGGCCCCTCGCCTCTGATAGCTCAGCAGGCTGCTCGGCTTCTCCTGCTTGCGGTCCACAAGGACACTCTCAATCATGGTTGCGTGTGCAGAGCTGTTCTCTATGCCCATCAGCTTGTTGCTGGCAAACGCCAGTGTCTTGTTGGAGACGGCGTTCAGATTGATGTAATTGAAGAACTTTTTGAAATACTTCTCCCGCTCATCCTTTCGGAAGTACACCCAGTTGATGAGTGCGCTGAGAGCCTGGTCCTCGTTGAGCACGTGCAAGTTTTCATCCCGGAGCAGGCGGCCGAAGATGATAGGTGGGCAGCGCATGAAGTGCACGGAGCCCTCGGGACTGGCCCAGTAGTGGAAGTTGTCACGGATGCCGGAGTAGGCCAAGTCTGACACCTCTTTGAGCTCAAACAACTCGGCCAAGAAGAGGTAGTGCAAGCAGTTGGCACGGCGGATGGACTTAATCAGAAAGTCACTGCAGTGGATTCGAAGGCGTGGTATGTTGAAATACTGGGCCCCCCGAAGGAGTTCCTCCACGTTCTGCTCTGAGATCACCACCTTGCCGCTGTAGAAGTAGTCCAGGAGCTGCTCCACGGTGGCTGGGCTCAGGTAGTTGGGGTCAATGGTGATGAAGAGCTCACTGGTGGTCTTCATGTCGTTGCAGAAGATGAGGCTCTTCACCAGGGGAGAGACGGCAGCCAGCACATTTTGATGTGCAAAGAAGACATGGTGATCTACAGTCAGGGCCATGTCCCAGTACTCTTTGCGTTTCCTCTGTTTGTTCAGGTTCTGCAGCATGAAGCTGTTATAGTTTTTCTCAGTGAATTCCAATTTCATGGTGCTTCTTGCTGGCTGAGGCGGAAGATCAGCAGCAGGTACTGGAGAACAAACCTCCTCAGGCCTTTGGGATTCAAATTGATGGTTGTTTGCAGAGCAGTTGATCAGGGAGGCATGGGTGTGGGAGAGAGGATGATGTCATAGAGTAGATGAGGTCATCACAATGCAGGTCCCCAGCAGGCCCTTCTCAAGGCACAGGCCCTTTCTCCCCTTTTATGGCTCCAGCCTGCCAAGGCCAGATACCCTACCAGGACCTAGTGCTCAGGGTCCAGAGCTCAGGAGGAAGCCCAGAGATAAGTTGCAACGCCTGTCTAGGACCTTCAAGCCTCAGTTCAAGGCTGCTTCTGGGATATAAGAGCCACTTTGGGTGAGGGTAGAATATGAAGGGGTGAGGGAGGTTGGGGGAAGAATTATTAGGTTCTCTAGACAAATCCTCCCATTGTCTAGAGGTGGAAAGCTGAGGCCCAGATAAGAGAGGAGACTTGCCCAAAATCACCTAGCCAGGTGGAGGCAGAGCAGGACCTAGAACCCAAGTTTTCTGTAACTCGGGCCCCTTTCTACTCTTCTAGGAAGCTCTTAACTACCCCCCTAGTCTCTGATTCTTAGGCTTCAAAGTACCTTCCTCTGCCCAGGCTCCTGGGCATCGGAGAAGAAAAGCTCTGTCCTTTGGCTCTGTCCTTTGTGGCCACAGATACCGTTCTTTCAAATAGAGGAAGAAGCGGAGGCCACTGACTGGATGCAGGAGTTAGCCAGGCACCGGGGGGATGGGAGGGCCTCTGATGCCCTCATTATTTCAGTTCCTCAGAAAACTGGGACATTTGCCCCACATTTCCGAGCTTCTAGTTGTGAAATGTTGGGGGCTGTAGTGCGTCAGCTCTCTCCATCAGGTGTGGACTTGGACAGGTTTCCCATTCTCTCTAAGCCTCAGTTTCTTCCTCTGTGAGATGGGAATGGTAGTACCTGCTTCAAAGAGCATTGAGAGTTTAAATGAGAAACTTATTTAAATGAGTGTTAAGCACGATGTTTGGCTTGTAGCAAACGTTCAATAAATGCTACCTGTCGTTATTTTAGTAGTACTGCATCAGAGCACCAAGCGCTGGGATTCCTGGCTGCTTCCTTCGTAAACACTTGTCGGGAAGCCTGGAATGCGCGGGGCCCTTTGGGCAGGCTCCGAGCCTCCTGCGGCCACACGGTGGGGCCAGAGAGTCATCTCCTACCGGGTGCACCCCTCTGCGGGCTGCGAAGAGCCGTGGGGTTCCCCCTCTTCCGCCGGGCTGCCACGCGCCTGCGTCCCCGTCCTCACTCTGCCACCCCTCGGCCAGAGGCTGCGGGGTAGATCCACTGGCTACGACCCTGGAATACAAACGGCAGGGCCTCTTTACGATCACCACAAACACACCTTTGTCCACTTCACAGAAGGGGTACTGGGCCCCAGACAGACAGGGTGTGCTTGGGGACAGACAGAGAGGAGCCGGCTCGGATCCCGGCGTCTCCCTCCCCGCCCCTCCAGTGCCCCGCCTGGCGAGGTGCGGCAGCCTCCGCCAGCTCCGAACCCCTGCCTCCGGGCTGATGTGGGGTGCCTGTGGCATCTCTGCCAAGGAGGGATTAAGTGACAGCCAGAGCCTCCTGCGGGTCCCATCTGGACCAGCCTTGGGGAGCTCCCAGGAAGGGGCTCAACACGCAGGCCCTAGCGGCGTTGCCAGATGCAGAGGGCACCTGGGCTCGCGCTTCCCTCACCCCCGATCTCCTCCAAGCCCCAAGCTCCTCCCTAAGCCCCAGTCCCGACCCTCAGCGAGTCCTTAGTGCCCCAACTAGGGAAACTCAGTGTCACCGGGAGCCGTGGGAATGTGAACAGGTCAGCTCTTTTTCTCCCTGGATTACTCAGATTCCCAATATTATTCACTGTTTCTCCCTCACCCTTTCATCCCAGACCTGGCTTTTTCTTTATTTTGGCATTTGATAATTTGAAAATTATTTTAAAATACTTACCTTTTAATTCTGCATTCGTTTACCTTAATCCTCAGTCTCCTGACATACCTATCTGCGCAAGGCTGAGAACTTGTTTTCCCAATGGGAAGGCTTAGATTTCAGCCCCTCTGCCCCAGACTAGCTGTGTGCGCCTTAGGCCGTTCCTCCTGGCTCCCTTCTCTCCGTGTGAGAACGTTTGAGCTCTAATTGTTTCTCCAGCTCTGATCTACAAGAGGGGGCAGCGACTTGGGTGGAGGATGAGGCCTCTTGGTGTTGATACCAAACATTTGCTCACTCCCACTGGCCTCCAGGCCTGCGCTTATGAGAGGCTGGCAGACCTCACTTCCTGGGGCATTTGTACCCAGGAGTAGGGGTTGGGTAGGTCAGGTCCTGCTGCTTCGCCTGCTCCTTTGCCCCCACACCCTGCAGCCCTGGGGGCATTTTGGTGGAGGAGGTGTTTGTGCTTCTTTGCTTTTATTTCAGGCCCCCTGAACAGGGCAGGAAGGTCTCTCATCAGATGCTTCCATCCACTTAAGAAAGTTGGGGTGTATCATGGAGGCCTGAAATGAGCCAATAGACCTAATTAATTCCATGTGCCAGACCTTGTATGGCTGGACCAACTGGGGCCCCAGAGAAAACAGGGGCCTCGATCAACTCGAAGTGACCAGAACTAAGCTTAGAGCTAGGGCTCCTGACTCCTTCAGCTGCCCTCTGGCTACAAAGGAGAGCTGGAATCTTGCTTCTTCTCTGCTTTTGTTGAACTTGTCGTCTTGAAGAAATCCATTGAAAAAATGAGATTAGTGCCCCCTGCTCCGTCAGCTTTGCCGTCTGGCTTTTCTTCAGTCCGAAAGCTCCTCCGGTCTGCTTTCTCCTCACTCCAGCCCACTGAGGAAACAGACGCCAGAGGCTGGTCGCATGCCAGCATCTACCACCTGGTTCTATGACCAGGGTGGCGGGCCACTAGGAAGTTCAATAACTGGCCATAAGTCCCTGTTGCTCACGGTGGCTGCCCGCCCAGGTGTAGCCTGAAAAGAGCTTCAGCCCAAGCCTGTCGTCCAACCTCAGCATCCTGCCTAGCTCAGCATTTTCTGTTCATGAAGATCCTTAGGGGAGGATACCTAATATTTTAATTATCTGGGGACCGTCAGTTGATATATCCATTTGTTGGGAAACCCTGAAGAAAATGAGGTGTGTGTTTCAGGGATACACAGATCAGACCTGGAAGTAGAAAACTCAGGAGCAGTCTTTCAGAATCTCTACCTCTTTTGTACCTTTAACTACAGGCTTCCTCACTTCTATATACAATGTTTTCAACTCATAACTTGACTTGCATATAGCTTTGGCTTGCCGTGCCCTAATTCAAACTCATGGCATCCTTATTTTTTCAGTTCTACTGGTAAATTCTCCCATGTTTCTTAGCTCAAATTCCTGGCCGATGGCCAGCCCAGAGATTGGCAGCTCTTGGATCACATGTCCACTCCAGTCCAATCAGCTGTGTGTGGGTAGGTCAGAGGGTTCACGGCAGAGCTGCCTGAGGAGCACAGTCCTCAGGGGAGAGGTTGGAGGTAGACACTTGAATGGCAGGAACTCAGAGTTATGGATTACCTTAGCCGCTGATTCAGAATCAGGCATGAATCACAGGGGAGGAAAATATTACACAAAAGGAAAAGATTTTATTGTCTTCGTCCATATGCCTGGGTGAAACGAAGGGCACAGCATGAGACTGTGCTCACAGTGCTGCAGAGACCTTCAGGAAACGTGTTTCAAGGATGGGTCTGGTCAGACTCCAGCCTTTATGCAGGCAGCTCCCTAGTGCCTGCCCGGCTGTCTCACCACCTACGGGTGCCGTGGTCTCAGGGATACTCAGCTTGGCATCTGGGTTGGTCCCTCTCCCATGGCCCACATGAAGTCATTATTCAGGGGAACTTTGTGTAGTTTGAGGCAAAATGCAGAGCCACATCAGCGACTCTAAGCCCCCGCATGGGAATCTCCCAGGAACACTGGGGCCCGCCACACATTCCAGGCCGGAGCAGCAGCGCAGCTGCAGCCACAGCTGCCAGGAACAGCCTGGGCTCCCGCCCTGTGACGGGGAGGCCAGCGGCTGGAGGGTTTCCTCTGGGGGCCCTGAGTGAGCTCACCCTCACCCGGACGCTCACTGACTTCATCCATCCAAGGCCGCTTGGCCAAGAGCCCAGGCAGGGTGAGGGGCTCCCTCTCCCACAATGGGCCCTGCGCCACCTAGCAGACTTGGGGGAGGGGTGAGTTTCAGGCCTGGCCCAGCTCCCTGGGAATTGAGGGGTACATACTGAGCTATGAAATGCCAGGGGGGGGTTAAGAAAAAAAGATGGGGGGTCAAGGGTGGTGACGGTAGCAGTACTTTGCTATGTAAAGGTAGAAAAACGGGGGCAGTGCTGGAGGATTGAGCAAAAAAAAGAAAGAGAAAGAACTCATGGACGCGAACAACTGTGGTGACTGCCAAGGGGAGGGGGCGTAGGGGGAGGTAGAGGAGAGTTTGAGGGGGATGAATGGTGATGGACTGAGACTTGACTGGGGGGGACACCCAATACAGTGTACCCATGATGTGTTGCAGTACTGTGCACCCGAAACCTGTGTAATTTTGTTAACCAGTGTCACCCCACTAAATTCAATGAAAAAGAAAATAATAAAATGAGGTGGCATACAAAAAAAAGAAAAACGGGAGGAAGTAAAGCTTTTTTCTTCACTTGTTTTTTGGCAATCCCATCAGAGAATTCCAGGGGCACGAGTGGCAACATGTCTTACCACTGAGAAGTCCCAGTGATTCCGGGGAACCCCTGCCTGCACCGTGTTTCTGACGGAAGCTGCTTTATCCGCCTGCATTAGAAGCTGTGTTCTATGTCACATTTAAATGAAGGTTTAATATTCTTAAATATCTACCCCAAGTAGATTACAGTGCACGAAGATCACAGGAAATGAACTTCTCAGCATCACCAACATTTGAAATCAGTAAGAAAGATACAAAAGTTTGCTTAAAAAAAAACAAAAAGTTAAAAAAATGGATTTCCCCCCCCCCAAAGTCTAAATAATTGTGGTCTAACAATCGGAGTAAAGGCTTCCACAGCTCATTCCTTTGCTAGGAATGAGTTCATGCAAAACTGTATGTCCAAGTGTGTGCGCAAGAGACACACACATGCATCACACACACAAGCACATACAGCCACAAAGACAGATGCACAGCTGCGTGCTTGTTGTTCTAGGCACTTCATATCCACGTTCTTAAGTCTGCCACCTGCCCACTGCATTTGGCAAGTTACTTCTTGGGAGGCAGGACGTTTTCTTCAAAGAAGCCCTGGTTGACGACATTCCCTGCCGGGAAGTATCTGGCCACCACAAAGGATGAGCCATCGCTTGCAGATGCCTTCCCCACTCCCATCTTCTTCGTGTTCTTCCACACCATGGCCGTGAAGTGTCCTGTAGGGGCACGGGCAGGGGGAGAGGGACACGAGGTAGTTAGCAAAGCCCGGAGAAGGATGTTTCAAGAGATTCATGAGCTCCTGCACCATCGTGCCAGGCTCAGGGCACAGACACCACTCAGAGGAAGGAGACACTAAACATACCAACAGCCTGAATTTCTGCAGCGTCAGGTCCTCTCGGTCACCACACTGACCCTACTCTCTCACCACTTTTCAATGCCCAAAGATTTCATGGTCTCCCAGAGATCATGAGAAAGCCCAGGGACCCCAACAGTTAGGAAGCCACCCTACCTCGCACCTGCCTCCAGCCCTTGCACACACTGTACTTTGCAAATCACCAACGATCTCCCTGTTCCTCCCCAATGGTCACTTTTTGTCTTCATCTTAACATCTCAGGAACATTTGATAGGGTTGCCTCCCCTCCTTTTCAAAGCACTCCCCTCTTTTAGTTTCAGCGACACCACCTCGTAGCACTGCTCCCACCCCACGGCCTCCTCTTCCCCCTCTTGATCTCACTTGTAAATGCCAGAGGGCCTGCATTTTGGCCCGATTCTGGGTCTCTCTTCTTGCTGCACCCCTTAGGCAATTCCATCTTTGCCTGGCTCCTGCATTTATTTCTCCAGGCCAGACCTCTCCTCTGTGTTCCAAACACAGCTACTTACTTGACATTTCCATTGGATGACTCACAGGCATCTCAAATTTAACTTCACTGGATTTTGGTCCACCCAAAGTCGTCCCTCCCCCTGCCCTCCCATTTCCTTAGTGGCACTTCTGCACGCAGTCCTGGGGATAATAAGGTCTGCATCGTGCCCCTACCTCACTTCTCACAACAACTGGGTTGGGTTCCCCTTTGGAGGCATGTGAGCGGCATCATTCAATGCTCACGAATCTAACTCTAAAATACATCTCCAGTCCACCCACTGCCAAAACTTTGGTCCCCAACCACCAACTTTCCTCACTTGGGCCATTGCAAGAGCCCCAACTGATGCCCCCAGCTTCCACCTCTGTCTCCTCAATCCACTCGCTTCCGAAGTAGCCTCAGTGATCACTGTGAGACTAAATCCTATCTGTTTACTTCCCTGCTGAAAAATCCTTTGACTGCGTCCAACTCACCTAGAATGAAAGCGAATGGTTTGGTGCAGGGGCCTCATTTCCATTCCTTGAACACCCCCGGTTATTTCCCACCGTGGGGCTCTTGCGCCCACTGGTGTGGAGTACTCTTCTGATGACTAACATCTTGTCGCTTAGGCCCCAGCCTTAATTAAGTCACTTGTTCAGAGAACCCTTTCACAATCACTCTGATTCCCTGAACACCTCCCTCCCGAGATGGTCTTATCACAACTATTCTTTTTTTCCCCTTAGTAATATTCTTGCTTGCTTACTGCTTGGCTCCTTCACGAGGCTATGAGCCCCACATCGGTAGAGACCAGATTGTTTTATTCCCAGAAGTATGCACATGCAAAGTGTAAACTCTCACTGAATGAATGAATGGCACGAATGAGTGAATGAATAAAAGGCAGATGAAAGAGCTCTCTCGGACTCAGCTTTTTCTCCCACTGAAGCGCAGGCCTTCTGTGTTTTGAGCTCTTTGAGGCCTTGGCAAGGTAAAGCCTCCTTTAATTCCCTCCATTCTGAGTCAAATAGCCCAGTTCTCCCTCTTTCTTTTTAAAATATTTTATTTATTCATTTATTTTTGGAGAGAGGGGAAGGGAGAGAGAAAAACATCAATGAACAAGAGAAACAGAGAAACTTCAATCAGCTGCCTCTCACACGCCCCCAACTGGGGACTGGCCTGCAGCCCAGGCACATACCCGGATTGGGAATCAAACTGGCGACCCCTCGTTTTGCAGGCCGATGCCCAATCCACTGAGCCACGTCAGCCAGGGCAGCCCAGTACTTTCTCAAGCTACTGCCTGCCCCTGCAGATACTCTGCGGCTTGCTGACGCTTCTCAGTATCATTCTCCCACTCAGGCCATCTGCCCCTTATTCACTGGTCCTCTCCAGCAGCTAACACGCCTTAATTTCCTGCTCCTCTCCTGTTTGGGGCTCAAAGAACTGATGCTGTAAGGCCCTCTTTGCTCTATGACCACAAATTCTTCTCATCTCCTGGGAGTAAAAGTTGGGAGCTCATCTCTTCCAATTTTACTGTTGAGGTGACAGATCAATGGGATATTTACTCCCATGTCACTGGGGAGCATCCACCTGCTAAAATAACCTTGAAGAAATTATGTCTCCTCCTACGGGGCAGGCACCACAGCTGCCTTCCCTACCACCACACCTCCAGTGTTTGGCATTGGACTTGGAACAGAGCAGATGCTCAGTAAGTGTCTGATGGGGAAGAGACAGAGGGAAGGAAGAAGGGGGAAATCGTGACCAGAGTAGCCGAGTTTCCCACAGGGTGGTTAAGGAAAAAAAACATTAACCGCTTTATACCCGTTAAAATGAATATTGGTTTTTTAAAAAGAAACTTATTTTGGTGAGGGTGCGGAGAAATTGGAACACTCATGCATTGCTGGTGGGAATGTAAAATAGTGTAGCTGCTGGGGAATACAGCAGGGCAGCTCCCAAAAAGTTCAACACGGCGCCGGCTGGGGAGCTCCGTCGGTTAGGTGTGTCCCGGTGGGCCAGGGTTGAGAGTGGGACCCCCGGTCAGGGCACGTGCAAGAATCAACCAATGAGTGCACGAATAATCGGGACAACAAATCAGTGTCTCTCTCTCTCTCTCCCCTTTCTCCTTCCTCTAAAATCAATAAAGTTAAGCATGAAATTATCATATGACCCAGCATTCTACTTCTAAGTACATACCAAAAAGAATTAAACACAGGGACTTAGATATTTGTACACCACTGCACACAGCAGCCAAAAGGAGAAAAAACCTAAACGTCCATCAATGGATAAACAGATAAAACGTTGTATACACATACAATGGAATATTATTCAACCTCAAAAAGGACTGAAGTTCTAACAGGCTGCAACATGGATGAACCTAAGGCCATTATTCTAAGTGACATGAGCCAGACAGCAAAGGACAACCATTGCCTGATTCCACTTATCTAAGGTTCCTAGAACAGTCGAACGGGAGGCAGAAAGCAGAACAGTAGTTACTGGGGCTTGCAGTGGGGGCAGGGAGGGACAGGAGGTACTGTTTAACAGGCTCAGAGTTTCTAAATGAGACCAGGACATTTGGAGACGAACAGTAGTGACGGCCGCGCAGCGTGTGAACGCACGGAGTCCCGTGGGACTCTACACTTAAAAACGGTCAAAACAGTAAGTTTGAAGTTTGTTTTACCATGAAATTAAAAAAAGAAAGAAAATAAAAATGAAAGGAACAAAGAGAAAGGAAATCTGGTATGCACACTTTTCCAGCCCATCGGAAAAAACAATGGTGATATCCCCATGTTCGTCAGATACGGTGAGGACTGAATGAATAAGTGTTCCCAGGCTGAAGTGGTTTTATTTCCCCTACAGTTGAACTCCATTTTTTATCATTCTTTTTTTTTTAAGATTTTATTTATTTGTTTTTTAGAGAGAGTGGAAGGGAGGGAGAAAGAAAGGGAGAGAAACATCAATGTGTGAGAGAAACACTGATTGGTTGCTCTCGTACTTGCCCCAACTGGTGACCAGACCCGCAACCCAGGCAAGTGCCCGGACTGGGAAATGAACCCACAACCTTTTGGGTTTCAGGACAACACCCAACCAACTGAGCCACACTGGTCAGAACACTTTTATAATTCTTCCACTTAGGTATAGTTTACTTATTTGTTAACATCCACAAAAGACTTTCTTTCTGCAAATAACCAAACAGAAAACAAATCAATATTGATGGGATATAATCAAAGCAAGATTTTTAAACAAAACAAAGCTTTAAGTACAATGACGTAGCTCTTCCACTTATCCTTAAATTTGTGTTAACGGCTGCCCCCAAACTCTGATTCCTCACCTCAGAGTAGAAGAGAAACCCTTCTTGCTAATTCGCCCTGGTCCTTGTGGTCTGGAGTCACGGCGCCAGGCCTTTGGCAGCTTGGCCCGGTGTCACTGCTTCTATCCACTGTCTTTTCATTAAGGCTCAAGTCCTTTATCATAGAAGCCTTTTCTCTCAGAAGACCACATGCTTTGGCCCCTGACCCACCCAGTGTCTCTGTCACCCACAAGGGAGTGCTACTTATTCACTGGTTGCCAAGACTACGATTCCAGACACAAGAGAAGCTGCGGCGGCAGCAGTGCCCATGGAAGCCTTTCCCAAACGGACAGACTCAGCCATCTGTCTTCTGGCTGGGGAAGTAATTAGGTATAATATTTATAGATGAACTAAAGAACACGACTTCCTTAGCAACCAGCAGATAGATAAACACTGGTTTCTAACTCTCACCTACTCACAGCTTCCTTTTTCTTTTCCTTTTTCTCCTAAATGGATCACATCCTCTTTCCTGCTATGGACCCAAACTTCCTGAAACACATATTTGAAAACCACATTAAATAAGGCACAGTGCGTCTGTGCAAGGGAATGAGGTGCAATGGTCAGAAATCATGAGAAAGCTCCTGCTGCATTACACAGAGCAGCCTCTGCCAGTCCGGATGTGCAGAAAGCCAGTGCACCACAGATCGTGTATCTGAAACCTGAGCATTAAACAAGGGAAAAACATATTTACATGAATGCCGGTGTAAGCTCAGAGCAAGCCTAGAATGATACCCAGGAAACCGGCATCATGAGTTGGGAGGGAAAGTGCCGAAGGCCAGAGATGGATGGAAGGCTTCTCACTGTGTACAGCTTACAAATTTCATGTCAGGTGAAAGCATTATTAATTGAGAATAAACAAATGATCAAACCTACTCATGAAAATAGAATATAACAAAGGAATCGCAAGAAACCATCCTGCCCCACTCAGCACAGAGTGTAGAGCTGTGTTCTTTATCACAGGACACTGACAAGGGCGGGGGGCATGGAGAGATTACGGGGTATACCAGAGGCCCTCTCACCTACTACATGGATGCGGTCAGGGGGTCCCAGAACTGTGGTGCAGCTCTAGGGGAGGCCGAGGTGGGGAGATGGGCCTGCAGATCTTTAAGGATTTTGCAAGCCCTGATTATAACCCCACCCAAATCTGTGCTCCCGGCTCCGGATGAGGCTCCGCCTGAGGCTCCGTGGGTCCCCAGGCATTGCCCACCAGCACCTGGGATGGCATAAGTGCTAGTTGCTCTGGGGCTTTCCCCTTTGGAGGTGGGAGGTGCGGGGCGATGGGTGAGACAGGCAGTCAGTGTTCACGGAAAGCTGAGTCCCAGTCCTAGCTCCGACACTTGTGAGATCCCTGTGCAGGAGCAGGGGCATCAGATTGAAGACAGAAGGTATAAAGAAGTCTCTTCCCTTTCAGAGGCAAAGTGTCCTCTGCAAAAACTGGTGGAACGAAGCCCCACCTCCAAATGGTAGGGCTCACGCGGCCGTGAATGGGGAGGCACTTTGTAACTGTCAAGTGGCTGCACACAGGAGCAAAGCTAAGAACTCTCTCCAGCCCATGTCCCATTGCCTGTGAAGCTTGCTCATGGGAAAGCAGATCCAGACACTAAAAAATCAAATGTCTTGCCCTGGCTGGTGTGGCTCAGTGGATTGAATGCCAGCCTGCGAACCAAAGGGTCGCTGGTTTGATTTCCAGTCCAGGCACATGCCTGGGTTGTAGGCCGAGTCCCCAGTAAGGGGTGTGCAAGAGGAAACCACACATTGATTTTTCTCTCCCTCTCTTTCTCCCTCCCTTCCCCTCTCTCTCTAAAAATAAATAAGTAAAATCTTTTTCAAAAATGCAGGCCAGGTCCCCAGTAGGGGGCCTGCAAGAGGAAAATCAAATGTCTTCTAGACATGGGTCTTTATAAGAAGGTCACCAGGCTCTGCCCACACATCCTCAATCACTGGCAGAAGGTCGTTACTATTCCCTCCCTCACCAATGGAATTTAATCGTCACAGAACCATCAGTTCTCCGTCAGAGCCCTGACGGCAGCCTCCTTCATCATCTCAGCCCTGCCTCTGCCCTTAGTCCTGCCCACGTAGTTGCAAGAACCCCGGTCCAAGAGGGTGAGCAGAAAACCACCGGAAACAGTGACTGGTTCTGAGAGCATGTCACTTCCTGTTTCTGAAGAACCCTCCAGAGGTGGGGAGGCCCTAAGTGGTTCCACCCATGGGTGGGGTAGGGTCAGGTGGGGTGGAGTAGAGGGGTAGAGGTGGGTAGAGAATCCCTTTTTCAGTTTTTCTGGTGCCTTCTGATCAGAGAAACTCACAGCCCCCTCCAACCCCTCCTGGGCCACCCCAGGTGGATCTGAGTTGGTTCCTAAGAAAGACAAGCGCCTGTGAGGCCTGGTGAGGGGCAAGAGGGAGCCCAGAGCTCACTCAGAGCGGTTGCCTGGCACCGCAGTCAGTTAAATGTTTACCGCTCACCAGGGAAGTCTATGAGAAAGGCTGGACGGTCCCACGGTCAGCTCCTCCCTGTATCTAAACTCCACCTCTCAGAACGTCCTGCAGACACTGCCACCTTGCCCTCCCCTCTGAGACAGGGAAGGATGGGGCCTCAACCCAAGTTCACACAAATAATAGTGCCAGGCCTGAGACTAGCTCCAGGTTTTCTGCATTCCAAGCTCACCCGGACCACAGACCCCAGCACAAAGGTGAAGGAAGAACACCCAGGAGGCAGAGAGGCAGGAAGGAAGCAGGGGTGTGAAGGGGGGCGGGAGTTAACACCAAGAGAAGAGGGAGCCTGGCCCTTTTCCTGAAGGCCCCAGGAAGCCACTGGCAGTTTCATCAGAAGAGTAAGGCGGGCACAGGTGGTACTAGAATGTTGTGGGTGATAGTGAGCTGGCTGCACAGCAGAGGAGCAAGACTAGATGGCTGGTTAAAAGTGCCAAGGCACCACTTCCGGAAAGAAGCACTGAGCAGCTTTGAAAATCCACAGCCTCCTTCCCTGGCTGGTGTGGCTCAGCAGATTGAGTGCCGGCCTGAGAACTGAAGGGTCGCTGGTTCAATTCCCGGTCAGAGCACATGCCTGGGTTGTGGGCCAGGTCCCCAGTTAGGGGCGAGCAAGAGGCAGGCAATTGATGTGCCTGTCTCTCATTGATGATTTTTTCTTTCTCTCTTTCTCCTTCCCATCCCCTCCCTCTGAGTCAATTAAAAAAAAAATCCACGGCCTCCTTGAAACACACTCCAGTCACCTGACCCCTGAAGAATTGGTGGAACAGGAAACATCAGCCTGGGATCTCTTAGATGCAGGTGTGTGTGTGTGTGTGTGTGTGTGTGTGTGTTGGAGACAGAATTTTAACCTTTGGGCAAAATCAAACCATAGAAATAAGGAAGAGGTAAAACAAGAGGGAAATGATTTTCACGGGGTTAGGCCAGGCCACTGGTATGGCTCCGTCACTCACCAGTCCCAGAGTTGAAGCCAGGCTGCTGGAAGTTGTAGTTCTTAATTTCACTGTACCATCGGTCAGCCACCTCCTTTCCTGTACAGAAAAGACACTGTTTAAACCTCAGCAGCAAAACCGACCCAATCCCATTCCTTCCACCTTCTCCCACCAACCCCGAACCACCCGTCCTGCCACGGACACCTGACGAAGCACAGGCAGGCTGAAACAGGGACTCCTGCCCACGAGCGAGCCCAGGCGGAAGAGATGGCCTTGTTGGGGATCGGGAAGAGCCCTGGCCTGGGGTCACCTGCATCTGTGTCCCGGCCCTGCTGCTACCTTGCTGTGTGATCCTAGGCAAGGCCTTCCCTTTTCCGAGCCTCTCTACACAAGAGGGTTAAAGGCAATGTACTCCGAGGACTTCTAATGATGCTCCAAGTTTTCCAGAGGCTCTGCCTTAATCCCACCCCAAGTCTAACTCCTGAAATATCCACAGGAGGGAAAGGCCATTGGCCTGGCAGGCCAGGGTTTCCATCGCAGGCAGGAGGGTCCTCACCTGGCCCAGCAGGCACTGAGAGGAGAAAACCCACACAGCATTTCCCTGGAAGCTGCAGGTCTCAGGGCCGGAGCCAGGAGGGGCCTCAGAGCTCAGAGCAGTAAGTCTCCAACTTTAATGCACGAATCGCCTGAAGTTCTTGTTACAACGCAGATTCTGATTTCAGTGGTCTGGGATGGAGCCTTTGAGCCTGCATTTCTAGCAAGTTCCCAGCTGCTGCTGCTGCTGGTGTGTGGACCACACTTGGAGTGGCAAGGTCTTAGAGAGCAGGGGCTACCCACTGGCCTCTCCTGGGAGCATTTAAAAACTGCTGATGCCTGGGGCCTGCCAAAGGCTGGTGGTATAGGTTTTTCTGGAGGAGAGACTTAGGCACTGGTATTTTTAAAGATCCTAATGTGTAGTCGGGGTGAAGAACCACTACCTTACAGACCATTTGCCCAACTGGGGCCAGAGAGGATCAGGACTTGCTCAAGGCTCCACAGGAATGAACCATGTCTCCTACTGGCTCTTCCCATCCCTGCCCCTCCACCCCTGGGCCCACCAGGCCCAAAACGAGTCCTGGAGAGATGCAGTCCACAGCTGCAGCCCGTGGATGCCTGCCTTCCTCAGGAGCATGCGCACACTTCTCCTGGGGGCCACGGCACTGGGAAACCCAAGAGGACACTTGGGCCTCCCCCGCCCCATCCCCACTTCCCCCCTGGGCACTCCTAGGAATGTGAGGCCTGGGAAGGAAGAGTCATTCACCAGCTGGGGTTTGCAGACGCTTCAGAGAGGACGGTAGGGCTCTCCAACATTTTTCCTAAAAAGCCACGACAGGGCTGTCAGAGCCAGGAAGCCCAAGAATGTCTGGTCAGTGCGGTGGGGATGCCATTCCAGCCTGAGACCTCAGATGAGGAGTTGCCTTTCCCATTATTATGATTTTTTTCCGACATGGCAACAGCTCTATTGTGCTTTTCTGCTGAGAAAAGTTTATATACCAGCACTGTAAAAAAAAAAATTTTTTTAAATGTGATAAAAGTAAAATTCTTCCATTGCTGGGGATGCCCTCAGGGTCAGGCTGAGACTCTGCACAGAGCCAGTCTGTGTCTCCCACCCTGCTCTTCAGCTGGGAGCTCTTCCAAAAGAGGGGGGTGTCCGGGCAGTCAGCATCATCTCTGTGTCCCTGGCAGCAGCCCAGGCCTGGCCCTGAGCTGGACATCAGAGACCTTGTGGTGAGCAGCACTCAGCCCCTGGGAGCAGGCCGGGCCCTGGGGCTGCTTTCACTTTCTGGGCCTGTAGCTGCCACACAGCTACACCACAGAGGGTGCCTGGCCTGGCTCAGGCCGAGGGCAGGGAGCTGAGAAAGCAACCCACCTGTCTGGTCATAGGATGCCCAAGCCAGGTTCTCTCCACACTGGCCGCGACTGGACTCTGGGCTGTGCTTGAGGATCCTCGTGCTGGCCAGGGCCTCTGAATACCTGCCAGAGACGACGGTTCTCGGTCAGAGCGGGCATAGTCCAGGGAAGCCCCAAAGTCTGAGCCCTAAACTGGTATGGCCCTGCACTTGCAGAGGAAATCAGGAGCAGCCCACCTGCATTTCTTTGGAGCCCCCTAAACACCCCGTTTGACAGAGGAACAAACTGGGGCTCAGAGGAACAAAGGGACCTGCCTAGGGAAGTGGCACAGTGGTTATTCAAGCCTGGCTGATTCTGCCCCCCAACTTCATGTCCCTCCAGTCACCCTGAAGGGCCCTAGGGTATGGGGGGACTCACTGCTGAGCCTCCTGGTTGAGCTTCTTGCAGAGCTTCAGTGGGGGGACACCATGCTGCTTCCGGTACTCGTTGTGGGCTAGCAGGACCTCGTTATTAAACTGTTTGGAAGCTGCAACAATTTCAAAATGGAGACCGTCTCAGTGCAGAGAAAAGACCACCAAGAGTGTGGCGGCAGGTTTTGGAGCGGCACTCAGCTCAGACCTCGGGCCGTGAGCAGAGGCTCCCCTTCAGCACCCCAGCCAAACGGACAACCGTGACGCCCTGCTCCGCACCTCTGCCCGTCCCGTCTGCATCCCTGGGGTCGCCCTCCACACCTCTGCACATCTGCACCCCGTGGATCAGGCAGGGCCATAGGGGCCACGTGTTGGGGATTTGGGTCTTTATCCAAAGCAGCGGGAAGCAGGCCGGCGAGCTGGTGAGAGCGGTGTTTCCGAAAGTTCCTGCTGGCTGCTGAGTGGAGGGCGGGCCCGCAGGCAGAGCGGATGCAAGCAATGGGACTTCTGAAAGCAAACGCTTGAAGAGACTGGATACCTCAGACCAGACCTATGGTGTGTGGGACTGCAGAGGACCGTAGGTGGGCACTCAGAGAGAACAAGCCTTGCTGGGGGCAGGGGGTTGCCCACACTGGGCTGCTAAAATTAAGAAGACAGAGGAACAAAGAAGAGAGGACCAGGAAAGGGCAGCAGTGGGAAAGTGGAATGAGGAGAGAGTGTGGAAACGAAGGTGTTGGGCCCAGAGTTGTAGTGAGGGATGAGAGGAGCTGTGCCCAACTGGGTCATGACCTTAGAAAGGGCAAGGTCAAGGGGGCTGCGGTTAGGAAGAGAATAAGTGGGGGAAGCCAAAGTCAGGCAAGGTCAATAGTGGCCAGAAGCCATGTCAGTTTGGATCCGTCCAACATCCTCCATCCATCTCTCTACCATCCATCCATCTATCCACTGATTTGTCGCCTGCCCCGCAGCGTCATCCACCTCCAATACATCCACCCGTTTGTTCTCTGAGCACCTCCTCTGTGCCAGGCCCGTCTTGTGTGCTGGATGCCCACAGACGAATCAGCCACATCCTGCCCTCCAGCCCTCACACACAGAAGGGAGACCGCCTCTAAAGAGACACTAGCGAACAGGGCGATGGGGCCAAGGTGCAGATGAGTGCAGGTGCGAGAGGAACTTGAACAGCAGCCTAGCATGGTCTGGGGGATCAGGAGAGGTGACCCCAGATTTGAGGCCCCAAAGATATCTGGCGGCAGCTAGCCAGGCTCAGACGGTGAAGACTCTGAGTGACAGCCTTAGGGATCTGGGAGCTCCCCTCTGTGGAAATGGGGGTGATTGGGTGAGTTAGGAGTGAGGGCTCAGAGTCAGGACCCTTACGCTGAGCTAGTCCCAGCCCGTGGGCCGGAAGGGGGTAAACCGGAGAATGATAGATGCACCGTTCATTCTTTCTACTGCCCCAGGTCACATTCACCACCTGATCTCCCCTGCTGTATTTTCACCCGGGAGGCTGAGCAGATGAGCCAGCAGGAAATCCTCTCGCCCTCCCTCAGCCAGATCGCCCAGGTCTCCTGGGCCTCAGAGGGGACACAAAGGGAAAAAGACCAGAACTTGCCCTCAGGAGCTTTGGACTAGACGCAGGCCCAGTGGTGATGAAGATAACTGCAGGTCATGGTGCTGGAGCTGTCCCAGGGGTTTTCAAGTTGAAAAGGGAGTGGTACTGACATGGAGGACTTTGGGGCCCAGCAGGACAGTCCAGTGAGGTCTAGTCACAGGAACGTGGGACAGGACAAGGATGTGAGGAGCAGGAGGCCGTGCCTACAGCCAGGATACGGGAGGCTTGGATGGATAAGGTGGAGATGGGGAGGACTGTTCCAATGTCCCCTCCAGCTCCAGGCCCCGGGCAGGGCTGGTGGGACACCACTGGACGTGCATGGGGCTGAGTGGCATGCGCAGCGGTGACCACAGAGGTAGTGGGGAAGGCTCCCTGGAGGAGGTGGTGTGGAGGCAAAGGGCACAGAAAGGGCCAGGGTGGATGGGATCAGGGTGGAATGGGATGGGAACCTTCCGTTGTGTACAACTCATCCCCGGGCTGTGGGGAGGAGGTGGAGAGAAAGGGAGTGGGTGGGGAGCTAATGAGGGCTGTTTGAAGGCAGCTCTGAGTTCGGCCACATTGCACCAGGCTCCTGGTGCGGTAGGCCCTGCAGTCTCCTTGGCAGAGAGGGACACACAGGGCTGCTAAAAACTAGGTCACTGCACTCCCAGTTCCCTAGATTCTGGGAAGGGAAGAGAAACAAAAGTGAAAGTCCTTGTGCTCAAAAAAGATCGGTGCCAGGGCTCCCAGGAAGGAGTCAGAACTTCTTGGTAATTTAGCTCTCTCTCCCCACCCCTGCTGGGAGGCATAGAAGCCTGCCCGCCACACGCTGACTGGCCCCAGGAGTGCCCCCCTGGCCCCATGGCAGCCAGTCCAGGTGGCTCCTCACAGTAAGGCCTCTGTCTCAGGGAGCAAGATATCACTAGTGACCACACCCACGAGAGCCACACCCCATTTCTGTAGAAAAACCCAAGAAAAGAAGATAAACACAGACTATAAAAGGTGGAAGAAAACCTACCCATCCCTGCATTGGGCAAGGAGGGCCCTCACAGCCAGCCCACGGTGGGGAGGGGAGGGTCGTGTCCTCCCAGGCGGTGCGCTGAGGCCCCGGGTGCGACCCTGAAACGAGGGCCGTCCTTCCTTCTGCACGTTCGCCCGTCGCTGCTGGGCACAGCCGCACTTCCTCCTCAGCACCTTTTGTGGGAGCTTCCACTACTGCACCCATTTTTTAAAACGGGAAAGGTAACCCGCCCACACTCCCCCAGCGGGTCTAGAGCAGGCCCATGAGGAAGGAAACTCTGTCCTTAATTAACGCCTTGCAACCCCCAAGGACTGCCAGGCAGAGGGAGTCACAGAAAAGCGGCAGAGGGGTTGACCAGACACACCCAGTAGGTGGGTCAGGCCCAGTGAGGTTGGGGCTGCCTTCAAACCTGAAGAGAGAGAAGACGAAGGAGAGGAGAAAAAATTAGGTTTCAGACCTGCCTGTGGGGCCCCAGGGAAAATTAGGGGCTGCAGGAGCAGAAGCTCAAGCGGACAGGTTTGGGGCTCAAGGTCAAAGCAGCTGAAAGGCGGAAGGAGCTGGCGGGCGCGGCTCCCCTGGCGGACGGGGCGGAGGGAAGGCGACAGGGCTTCCGCCGAGTGGGGGGCACAGACATCCTAGCAGGGGCTGAACTGGGGCTCTTGAAGGTCCCCTGGAGCCTGGGCCTCTTAATGCCAAATGAAGACCCCAAGGAGGTCTGTGCCCCTCCCCCCGCCTGGCTGTCGGCTGGGGCAGGCTCCTCCACGGCATCTGTCCTCTTCGGAGGCCGCCCCCAAGAGCCCAGCCCGCCGCATTTCTCCCCACTCTCTCCACCAAAGAGGCCACGACTGCCAGAAGCCAGGACAGGAATTGTGGACAGGAGGCTTCCACCCCTTGGCAAGGGGCTGGTGTTGAGAAAAAAGAAAGGACAGGCCAAAATGGAGTCACCTTTGCTAAGCCACCTCACCAAACCAAAACTCAATAACTTACCCAGTTGCGATTTCAGCCTCTACCAGGAGTGGAATTTTAAACCAACGCGTCTGGAATTTCCTGATCACCCGTGAGGCAGGCTGCCTGATCAGACCTGCTGCTCCCCTAAAGGAAGGTGACCCTGCCTAAAACGATCCACTCTCTTAACTTCTTAATCTCACCCTCTTTCTGCCTGTGAAAACCTTCCATTTTGTACAACCCATACAAGCGCCCTTCTAGTTGCTAGAAGCAATAAATCCCATGAATTGCTGACCAAAGCCAATTACATCTTCAAGTTTACTCAGCTGAACGCTGTTGTTTCACATTGGAAAGTGACCAGGTCCCACCTTTAGGGTAAAACTGGTCTATCAGGAAGAACGAATAAAAAGCTAGGGGTGGGGAGTGGAGAAAGAGTAGCTTCTCTTCTTCCAGCCTGGGCTCCAGGAAACTCAAGAGGCAAATACCAGCTTTGCCTTTGACTGGCTGTTGATTCTGGGCAAGTGGCGTAATCATTCTATGCCTCGTTTCCCTCACACAGAAAAATGGGGATAAGAATATCTACCTCACAGGGTGGTTGTGAGCATCACATGAATTAACCTATGTCATTGCCCCTGCAGATCCCATCCCCGACTTTCATGGGAGCTGGGCTGCCAGTATTTCAATCGGTCTTCGACAACTTCTTTCTGAACCTCTGAGCTCAGATATTTGCTGAGTGAATGAGTGAGCGAATGAGTCAGCAAATGAATGAGGCCCTCACCAGCGCCAGGACGGCCCTAGGACCCGAGTCTTCTCACTGCGGATGAGGAAGCTGCGGTCTTTGGGAGGACGGACATGTGAACTGCAGGATTTCACAAGGTGAGTATGCATTCGGGCTGGATCTAAGAACAGCCTCCTCTGCCCCAAATCTTGCATACTTCCCACTTTACATATACTTTCCTCTCCCTGAGCAAGAAGATGGTCAATGAGGGGTCATTCAGTTGCTCAGTTGTTCTGGAGCACCAGCTCCAGGCTGAGCCTTTGCACAGGTAAGTCACCGAGGGTCTGACGGAGCTGGGGCAGCCGGTTCTCCAGCCCTGCCCATGGCCACTCAGCCTTCCTTGAGCCCTGGGCCAGTCCCCACCCCTCTGGGCTCCTGTTGCCCATCCTCGCGAGAAGGAGGGATGACATCTGTGGGTTTTGAAATATGTTCAAAGCAAGGTAAACCTTTCTTTGAACTTTTTTTTCTAATAAAATCAACAGGTAAAAATGGAACTGTTAGAACTGATGTGGCCCTACAGCCCCGCCCTGCAGAGGTGTCTGGGCCCCACTCCATATAAAGTTCTGGGGCTAGTTGGCCCCTAACTGCCCTTCTGCTCTGATGGCACGTGTGGGTGGAGGGGACGTGAGGCCTGTTAGAGACAGATAACTAGAGGGTGTGTAGAAGTCCCCTCTGAGCCCGTTCCAGGCTGAGAAGCAGGCAGGGAGCCTGTGGCAAGTGATCAGTGTGGTAGGGGAGAAAGCCCACAGCTCGGGCTCAGAGAGCTGGGTTCAAATCCCAGTTTGTCCACTTACTGGTCAAGGTATGAGCTTGGGCCTGGTACCCAACCTTTATAAATCTATACGATTGAAAATAAGGAGCTCCGAGCCTGCACTAAGAGCTTAATCATTGCTAATCACTATTATTAGGGACTAGAGGTTTTCGCTGAGGCCGAGATCACTGTCCCTCTCTGCCCCCAACACAGTTGCTGCAAACTGAAGCCCAGCAGGGAGAGCAGGGCTGGGAGATGGACCTGGAAGTCTCCGAACACTGGGCCGAGCGTATCCTGGAATTAAAGCCGTCAGTTTCGTGACAGTTCTTCAGCAATGCCAGTACCCCAAGCAGCCCTGGGGCGTATCTATCATTTAAGATTAAAAAGAGACTGGCTCCAATGCAGTGGTGAGGAAGCAGGCCCAGAAGAGGTGGGGACTGGCTCCTCACAGCGGGTCGTAAAGGAGCCGCATAAAGCCCCCGTGTGGCTGCACGTCCCTGAGCGCCACGGGCCCTGCAGTGCAGACCCCAGGCTGGTGGCCTGGGGCTCCAGGGTCGGGCCTGTGCTGAAAGCGCACTGGACCTGTGTTACCCAGAAATGTCACTTTCTCTTGGACACCTTTACAGAAGCCACTGTTCTGGGGGCTTATAGACTTTGGGCGAGACAAATAAAATGCATGTGGCTATGAGGGAGAGTGGCCTGGGCCAGTGTTTTGGAAGGTCCCTGATTGTGTGAATACGTGTGGGGGGGGACATGGCACACTGTCCCCCTCCCCCCGAAACCTGCTCAATCCTGCATCTTCAGTCCTAGCAGGTGTCACTGTCATCTTGTTCCCAGACATACCTCTGGCACTTTTCTCTCATTCACAAGTTAGTCACCAAAGTCTGCTTGACCGCACCATCTCCGAAATCCACCCTCTCCTCCTCTCCAGTCCCACAGATGCCTGTCATCTGTTGCCTGAATTATTGCGGCGTCTCTTTCTGACCCTCCACCTCTCCCCTCTCCCCACCTGAGCCACCCTGACTCCGCTCTAGTAACACCACTTTCAGATTAGCACCTTTAGTACATAACGGCACCCCAGGTCTCGGGGGTAAAGTCCAACTTCTCGAGGCCCTCTGGGGTTTGACCATCTCCTCCAAGAACCTCCAATAGGCCCCTTTGCGGAGGAGATGTCTGTACCCTGAGCTCTCCTTGTTCTTCACCTGCACCTCTATTGTGCCTTGAGTCACTTCCAACCTCTTATTGAGGCCACGTGAGCACCACCCAGATCAGCTTTATGATCCAGGTCACAATCCAAGTGAACACTCCCGAGGCTGAGGGTCACGCCCTCCACAGCGCTGAGCGCACGTGTGGCCTACAGCTGACAGGTGGTGGGATGGACGGAAGGAAGGGAGGGAGAGAAGGAAGACGGGAGCTTGAGATGGACAGATGGATAGACGGATAGAAGAATGGGCACACAGATGAATATTAGCAGTTTGGGAAAACTGTGTCTTAGCAGAGAAGCTGGGAGCAACTGGTTAAAATGTGGCTTTAGAGAATTTGTAGATTTTTAACGTACACAGAAAGGAGCTGATTTCTCCAGGTGCCCCCTCACCTCCGCCATGCCCTCGCCCCATTGCCACCCACCATCACGGATTTTGGTGACAACTCCTTATGTCACCTTTCCCCACTGTGAAGGGAGTAGGGAAGAACCCTGGGGATCATAAGGGCCACCTCATCACACAGATGGGTCAAGGTCACACAGCAAGTGATTAACACAGCCAGGGCTTCAAGCCAGACCTGTCACTGCAGGTGAGGTGGGTTAAGACCAACCCCAGGGAAGGCCACTTACTCTCAGCGTGGGGACCTCATGGCTCTGGACCTTGAGGAGAGATTCAAGACCCAGCTTCACTCCTCTGAGGCGGACAGCCACAGCGCCCCACAAAGCAGGGCTTCTGAACTCTCTTCAACAGCTGTTCACTTAGATCCTCCTGTGAGGCAAGAACTATGCTGAGACTGAACCCCACCCCACCCCCACCCTGGTCACCAGGAGTCTGTGTCTGCAGGGAAACAGACCTGTGGCTGGGTACTGTCCCAAGCTGACTGCTGGGAGGGCTGTCACCAAGAAGAGACCCGCCATCCTTTAGGGGGTTAGGGAAGTCAGGGGTGGCCTCCCAGCCCAGAGGCTGAGCCTACAAGAATGGGGAGGACTTTTGACCTCAGAGAGGTGGCAGAGACAAAGTGGTGCTAGTTGGTGCTGGGAAAGAGAACCCAGGGGAAGGGACCATGTGCCAGCCTCAGGATAGCTGAGTGGAGGCGAGGGGCAATGACCAGCTCCCAGGGGACCCCAAGTCTGGGCTGAAGAATGCCACTCTCTCCCCTGAGGACAATGGAATGGAAGGTGTTGGAGAGTGACAGAGTAAGATCTACATTTTAGAAAGTTCACGGGGGAGAGCCACAATAGTGAAGATGGGGCGCCAACAGGTGGGAGAAGAAGGGGAAGCGGAGTCTGGCAGGCGACCTGGAACGGAGGGGGCGCTTAGGGGAGGAGGGACAAAGACACACGGATGCTCGACCTGTCCTCAAGAGGGCTGGTAGGAGCCCGCTGCTTTGCATTGAAAGATGCTATCACAGTTTGGTGGCTTTTTCCAACTCCTAACTATTCTGAAACAAAGCAAAAGCCACGCCTTGGCCAGACGCTGAGCGCTAATCCCTTCAGCGCCTGGAAGCCCTCCCAGACGCAATCTCTGGCTCGCAGACAGGGGACCCTCCCTCGGTCTCGCCTTCCCTCGCTCTCTCCCGCGGGCCCAGGGCCACCCCGGCTTCCTGGCTGCTCCGGAAACTGTCCGCCCCGCGCCTCCGGGCGCTTCGTCCCGCGCGCAGCTCCATCGCACGCCTCGGGTCCTGCAGAGCCGCATCCCCGTGGAGGCGGCCCCCCAGCTCTGGGGACATCCAGCCCCGCCGCGTGGGAGGGTGACGGCGAGCATCCCGGATCTCGCAGCTCCTCAGCCGTCCCCGCACCCTGGCCCGGTGGGCGCAGCGGGCTCACCTGACTTGCCCATGGCCGGCTCCGTAAGCTCCCGGGCTCCCGCTGCCTCTGCGCTTCTCGGCCTGCCGCGAACCGCTAGGACAGCCTAGGGGGAGGTCGAGCGGCCGCCGCCCCTCCCCGGCGCAGCCCGGCCCCCGCCTTATAAGGCAGCAGCAGCTGCTGGCCGAAGCGCCTGGGGCCACCCCACCGGCTGCCCGGAGGAGGCGCTGCACACCCGGCGTTCCGCGGAACACCGCTCGGGGAACTTGACCCGCGGAGGGACCCTAACGACTGCCCGGGGCTCTCCCCGGGTGCAGACCTGGAGCCCGGGGCCTCCTGGATCTCAGCCCGGAGCAGTGCCTTCTTGGGGCCCCGGAATCCCGCACCCCCCAGCAGGTTCCTTGCTGCAAGGGCCGCAGTGTTCGCTGTCATGGCGTGAGGACAGTTCCAGTCTGGGACAGGAGATCTCCCCCTCCTCCCGAGTGTGTCCCCTTCCCCAGTCCAGTGACAATGGACTCCAAAGGGCAAGTCCATCCTCTCTCCCCAAGACACACCCTCTGGTGCGAGTCTGGGTTGGAGTTAGAACGCTGGCTCCTCTCTGCCTGTTCAGGTCCTTCCCATTCCTCAGAGTTTTTGTGTCCCTTTAACTTCCAGAGGCCCTGACCTTTCCTGACCTTGAGGACAGTGGTCTGTACACACCTGGCACTGGGGAGACTTGGTCTCAGTCACGGTCCAACCCCTGTATGAGAAGGACACTGGTATGAAGGCACGGCCTGGGTTACCTGTGTCACTCACTGCCCAGAGTAACTCCTTCCTGGGGAAGGGGCTCAGTCAATTCTACTTAAAGAAGCCTTTCAATAAATGTGCACTAAAGTGCAATGACTGGCTGATTATAGCCCAGCAGTAAGGCTGGGCGCTACCCTGTTTACTCCCTCACACTGTCAGGCATATACACTTACCGGGTGTTAGTACTTTCGGTGTCCGAGTGTCGGAAACTGTGGCCCATCCCAAATCAGCAGGGACTACCGGTGCCAGGCGGGAATCTAACCCTTTATATTCAATGTCCTTTCCCATTTTGCCAACAAATCCCTATTGGAATGACCAAATGAAGCCAGTAGGAAGAAGTCCATATTCCCTCTAGAATCTCTGGAATGCTGTTCCTATCTTAACCAAAACTTCAAGGCTGTGGAGTGGAGACTAAGTGCCGGGCAGCCACAGGGGCACAGAGGGGAACCCCTCAGGGAACCACCGGGTTTCCCTCACTTCTCCTTGCACGGAGGTGAAGCTGAGGCAAGGGGGCCTCAGCGGGGTAGGGATCAAAATCTGAACTCAGTGGCATCTTTGGAGCCTGTGAACCGCAGAGCTGACCTGAGCAGCAGCACATGGAAGGGACAGTGTGCTGAACAGAGTTGGGCAGGGCCCGAGTTGCCCCTCACCAGGGGCCCCGGGCTGTTTGGAGGGGGAGTCCTTGCCCAGCTGGTCCCAGCTGGTGCAGAGGCAGAGACCAGAGAAATGGCAACAAAGGTCAGCCACAGAGTGTTGGACTCTTATCTTTTCTTTTTGGTTTTATGTGCTATTTCAGAACTCCTTAACCTGCTCTGAGATCATGAAAAGTTTCTGTGTTTTCTTCTAGAAGTTTTATAGTTCTTTTACATTTAGTTTCTACATTCATTGTGATTATGGCTGTGGTATGAAGTCAGCGTTGTAATTCTCTTTTTAAATCATTTAAAAATTTTCAGTTACAGTTGACATACATCATTATGTTAGTTTCAGGTGTATACCCCGGCAGTTACACTTTACATAACTTAGCAAGTGGTCATCCTGACCAAGCTTGTACCTGCCTGACACCACACGTAGTGTGGTTATCAGATCATTATTAGCTAGATTCCCAGTGCTGTATGTTACATCCCTGTGACTATTTTGTAACACTCAATTTGAATCTCTCAATCCTTTCATTTTTTCACCTACTCCCTTAACCCCTTCCCATCTGGCAGCTGTCAAAACCTTCTCTGTATCTATGGCTCTATTTCTGTTCGCTTGTTTGTTTATTCTGTTTTTTAGGCTCAATTGTTGATAGATATGCATTTATTGCCATTTTGTTGTTCATATTTTTTATCTTCTTTTCCTTCTTATTCTTCTTAAAGAAAACCCTTTAACATTTCATATAATACTGGTTTGGTGATGAACCCCTTTAGCTTTTATTGTCTGGGAAGCTCTTTATCTGTCTTTTTTTGTTTTTTACATGATAGCTTTGCTGGGTAGAGTAGTCTTGGCTGTAGATCCTTTCATCACTTTGAATTTTTTTTGCCACTCCCTTTTGGCCTTTAGAGTTTCTTTGAGAAATCAGCTGACAGTTTTATGGGAACTCCCTTGTAAGTAACTAACTGCTTTTCTCTTGCTGCTTTTAAGATTTGCTCTTTATCTTTAACTTCTGACATTTTAATTATGATGTGTCTTGGTGTGCACCTTATTGGGTTCATCTTGTTTGTGACTGTACTTCCTGGACTTGTCCTTCAACAAGGTAGAGAAGTTTTCTGTCATTATTTTTTCAAATAGACTTTCACTTTCTTGCTCTCTCCCTTCTTGTCCGGCACTCCTACGATGTGAACGTTGGTACTTGAAGTTGTCCCAGAGGTTCTTTACACTGCCCTGATTTTTTTTTTTGAATTAAGTATTCTTTTTGCTCCTTCCAATCGGGTGTTTTTTGCTTCTTTAAATTCCAAATTGCTGACTTGATTCTTGGCTTCATCCACTCTACTGTTGATTTCCTGTAAATTATCCTTTATTTCAGTGAGAGTATCCTTCATTTCTCTCTGGTTCTTTCTATTTAAAACGGCCCCCAACTGACGTGTCGAGGTGCTGGGTAGTGTTCCTACGGGCAGGAAGCCTGTGGTGTGCCTCATGGAGGACGTGTGTGTCAGATAAGCTCTGTTCAGGCATGAGTTACAATGCTGTTGCCATGTGTTCATGAATCAACAGTATACACGAAGGTAACATCGAAGCAGATAACCAGAGACAAAAGGACAATTAGAATACTCATTTAAGGGTGTGGGGTGTGGACCTGAAGTTACGTGGTCCAAGTCCAAGTTCTGGCTCTGCTGCCAACCAACTGATTCTGAAGGCATTTGAGATGAAGACAGTAATACCTATCTTAGAGGATTTTTAAGGAAAGATTTTTAGATGAAATTGAGATGGTACTTAAAAAGCACTCTTTAAATGTCACATATTTTTGTCTGTGTATTTCTTGGTCACAATTTATATATTTAAAAGAGTACCTTTGTTCTCTGAATAGCTCAAGGCAAAATTCTGCTGAGTAGGAAATTTAAACTTGCGCTTTGAAGGAAACTTGGCCACATCTATTTTAATCTCTTGGGGGTAAGTATTCAAGCCTTCTAGAATCTTTCTCAATCCCCTGTACACCTCGGGTCAACTCCAGATTCAGGTGCTCACACAAGAACATCTGTTGGGCTGAGTCTGGGTCATGTGCCTTCACACAAGCTTCAGAAAGAGAACAGAGGAATGTCTGGGCCCCTTCAACGTCCGTTCTTGGGTACAAGACCTTCCTACTCAAATCAAGACTTCTCTACATGCTGAGCAGCCAAAACACAGCCAACGTCTGCCCTCTCTCCCTTTTCAGAGGGGGGATTTTATTTCTGTCTCACAGGTTTCCCCGGAATGTTCTGTACTCCATGACTCAGTCCTTCTCAGTAGTGTCTAAGCTCTTCCCTTATGGATTCTTCCCCAAAGTATGGTTTCAGGTGCAAACTATGCTTTAAGCTTTTTAGGCTTTGCAGGGTTTTGGAATAAAAAATTCATTGTGATAGTGGAATGAGTGGATGGCCATGGAAACAGAAAACCAGGGGGAAAACCTTGGCAGAAAAATCTCATTTTACCAGGTTGTGCTCTCTTTTGTAATTGCTGTTGGAAAATATATGGGATAAAGCCAAAGCTGTACCTAGAGGCAAGTACACTATATAATAAATATATGAACATAAACTTCCAGTTATACCTGGGCTCAAACTATCCCTGCTCTGCTATCTATCAGCCATGTGACCTTGGGGAAATTATTTCATCTCCTAAAGCCTTAGTTGTATCAACTGTAAACAGTGTTAATAATACTATTCGTTCATACAGAGATCATGAGAATTGCATGAGATAATTCATTTAAAACATTTGAGTCCTGGCTGGTGTGGCCCAGCGGACTGAGCACCAGCCCGTGAACCAAAGGGTCACTGGTTTGATTCCCAGTCAGGGCACATGCCTGGGTTGTGGGCCAGGTCCCCAATCGGGGGTGCTCAAGAGGCAACCGTACATTGATGTTTCTCTCCCTTTCTTTCTTCCTCACTTCCCCTCCCCTCTCTAAAAATAAATAAAATAAAATAAAATAAAATATTTGATAGGATGCTTTTATGAAATAAATTCTTGGAGAGTCTTCAGTAAGTGGTCCAGGAACCTTCTTGGTCATTCTTGGCCATTTGTCACATGACAGTTCTCCCTCGGGAACTGTCAGTAGAAGAGCATGCTACACAGACTTGGGCTGTTCTGGTCCCACGAGATCCGAGATGTAAGCTGCAACTCGGCACAGAGTGTTTGGCAGATTTCACAGTTTGCTGCCTTGCAGTGTGGTATGGCCATCCGCGTATAGACTGAGTCCATCCATCAGAGCTGTGGCTGGATGACGGCACTGCGGATCCTGGGTACATGAGAGGAAAGCAGGGAGCCTGAAGGGAGACGCCTTGTCACCAGGCCATGTCCGTGGAGCTGAACTGCTGATGAGCCTCTTATCGTACCCCCTTCCTAAGAGAAGGGGCTTCTCTCTCTGCCCAGAAACCAGGAAGGAGAGAACCTTCACCATCAAGGGCCGAGAAAGATGACTTATCATTACTTAATATTGTACTTCCTTAATTTGAAAATAAAGGACTTTGACGAAAATTCCTTCTTACTGGTATCTGTGTTGTTACAGATTGAATGTTTGTGGCCCCCCCTAAATTCATATGTTGCAACGTAATCCCTAATGTGGCGGTATCTGGGTGAGGGGCCTTTGGGAGATGATTAAGTCATGAGGGTAAGGCCCGTATGAATGGGATCAGTGTCCTTATGAAAGAGACCCCAGAGGGCTCCCTCCCCCGC